GGGAGGCCATTCCTCCCAGTCACGCCCGTCCAGGTCTCGCTCTCGTTGCCCTTGTGAGCATTAATAATAATGCAAAAAAACTGGGTCTCAGACCCAGCCCCTGACAGCATCTCAAACATCTGTGCTGATATACCTCTATGACTGTCATTTCATGTCTGTGACCCAGCATTTTGCAGTTTTGGACTTTGTGTTTCGTTTATTTAATGTTTGTGTTTGAATCATAGTTTGTTGTAGCTTTTGCAGTCATGAGTTTTGTGTATTCAATATTCCGTATTCATTTGTTTCAGTTATCTTACCTCCCCTGTGTTCTTCTTCTGGTGTCAGTTACTTCCTGTTTTATTTCTCTAGTCATGCATCTTGTGTGTCTTGTGTACAATTGTGCTTCCCCATTCATTAGTTAAACTGTCTTCACCCATGTCTTGGTTTCCCAACGGTGTCCTCGCTACCTAATCACCTCGTGCATAAGCCAGTCAGTATTCCTCAGTTTCTTGTTGCACTGTACTGTTTGTCTGTGTTCCCTCAGTGCATTCCTGTATGGATTATTTGATTTTGCTTTTTCTCTGTTATTTACACTTCCTCCTTTACCTAATTAAAGGTTAGTTTTTTGATGCATTCTCAATCATCCAGGTAAGTAAATCGCCAAAGGTTTATTCTGTTCATCTGGACGTAGCGTTTTCAGTGGAAGAAATGTTTTGTCACTCATCCAAGTGACTTCTTCAGTCTCAGCTGATGGTTTCTTCTTCAGTCTCTCAAAATGGTTGCATTTTGAAGATTCTGCTGTGAAAAAACAACAAGCTGCGAAAACAGAAAAAAAACATTTGAGAAATTGCTACAATATTAGGAGTGGCAAAATGTAGTTTGATTCATTGTGACAAAGAAAGAAAGCACTGGTGAACTCAGCAATGCAAAAGACCTGAACGTCCACAGAAGACAACAGTGGTTGATTATCGCAGAATCATGTCCATGAGAAACCGATACACAACAGCCAGCCAAGTAAGCAATACTTTCCAGGAGGTAGGCGTATCACTACCCAAATCTACCATAAAGAGAAGACTGCATGAAAGTAAGGTTCACTGCAAGGTGCAAGCCTCTCATAAGCTTCAAGAATAGAAAGGCTAGATTGTACTTCGTTAAAATATCTAAGAAAAAAAAGTTCATTAAAGCAAAGACGTAGAATATTCATGAATCGCTAAGTCAGTCACCTGATCTTAACCCAATTGGCATGCGTTTCACTTGTTGAAGACCAAAATTCAGACAGAAAGCCCCATAAACAAACACCAACTGAAAGCTGCTGCAGTAAAGGCCTGGCAGTGTCATGGGCTGGGTCTGTGACCCAGTGTTTGAGTTCTTATATATTTTGGTATTCATTTGTGCCCTAGTTTAGTTCATCTAGTTAATTTCGAGATTGCTGTTTAGTCCTTTGTTTCTTAGTTGTTTATGTCATCTCCTCCTGTATTCAGTCTCCCTGGTCCGTGCGTCTACCTGTCATGTGTTATGTCTGTGTGGTTATATTCAGTTCAGGTCACGTCTAATCCCCATGTTTCCTGTTTTACTTTGAAAGTCTGTGTCTAATGTCAGTGTATGTAGTTTCACTTTCCCTGTCCTGTCATCAGGTTCATGTGTATCAGCTGTTCCCCCTCATGTGTTTCCACTTCCCTTGATCATCCCTTATGTGTATTTAGTCTCTGGCTGTATCCCAATTCAGGGTCTGCAGCCTTAAAGGCCGCATTTT